TGCTTCATTGTTGGGCAGAACTGAAGTCCTAGAAACTCTCAGGGGTCAAGCTGCCAAACACGGTCACCCACCCATTGCTTAACTTCAACTGATTCGTGACCTGAGCTCTAAGCACAGGACCCCATACCACCACCACTACACTATCTTAGAGGTATTACAGTGCACATATTTCTTGATATGCCTTTTTATTTTTCACAAAACTGTGCAGTTCGCTGAGCATAGTGTACCTTGTTTATGGCACCACTTGTCAAGCACGGCAACAGTCATTTAGCAAACGCATTCACACCAACCTTAAACTAATTTATCAAACATAAAGTCATTGACCTGTGTTGGCACCAGACGTTCGTCTCTCGTACATCCCTCGTTAAGAGCAAATAATATTCCATTACCAGAGACACATGTTTTGCCATCGATCAAGTCGTAATTAAAAATCAACTTTTGTTGAACAATTGAGAGATTACCAAATTAAAACCCCTCCCTCCTGTCATACATACCATGCCAAATATATTTTACTAGATGTTTGACCGTGGCTACACCAACATGAAAATCAACTCTTGTAGGGTGAGACCCAGATTGTCCTCTTATCACCCATTTCGTGTAGTAAAGGTTGTCAGCATAGGGCAGATAACGCATCTGGAAACTGTTAATGTTGAATAAGCAAAGCTGTGAGGTATACAATCATTGCCTTTTCCATCTCAGATAGACTTGCTTGAAAAATCCGTGGGAACTCACAGCTCTCTCCTCTGTCATTTCAAGGTAAGAAACATTTGAACCTAATTTGTATTTTATGTCTTACTTCAAATTACATTTTAATTCCTGCCCAGGAAAAAGAGAGTTGTGTTTGAAACATTGCTACGATATTTACGTACGTTTTGAATTATCTACCATTCTAAATGCTAGTTCTAAATGACCGATTATCTCTTAGGCACTGTCCAGTGATGTTTCATGCATATTGTTTTCCTCAAGATTAGGTCTATATGTACAAATGAATATTTCTTTTCTGCGTCTTTTTCTCAGGTCCAACTTGATAACCTGCAATGTAAGTAGGGTTGTAAGCAAACACCTGGTGTCATCACTGATTTTAAGTCATCCATTCATATAACTGTAAAAGTTATTTCTCCCTTTACACCAAACGGAACTGGAATCTAAGGATAGTCAAAACAGTCTATTATCTTGCTCTGACGTTTTACATCTAACTCTGACGTGACAAGCACTTGACCTCAGATGAACAAGATGAAGATATTGTACAGAGTCAAGTAATCAAGGAACGATACTTCAAACAACTTAAAACATATCCTAAATTGCAAGTGCCCTCCTCAAATACCACACACTTGGGTCATGCAGTTTCACAAGCTGTCTTTGATTTTCACTGTAATTTCTACCATCGTTTAGGCAACACGTGTTCTGGGATCTTGTGTGCGCACTATGCCCATTGAAATACTTGCATAATCCCAAAGAATTACCTACGTTCCACCTACATTTCTCCATTTTGAGGAAAATACCACCTAAAGGCGGCCATATTGAATTTCACTCTCGGCCAGTTATTTTTATTGAATCAGAGTTCTTCGACTAATCTTGAATTCTTCAACACCTACAGACTAAGAGCAAGAGTAAGTCACCCGAAGATCATGAAGAATTATTCTATTCTGACAGATGTTTTGCAAAGCGACTGAATGAACAATGCGTTTTTGTTAACCATCTGAATGTGGTCTTGAAATCTCTTTGTCTGCATCGTTACATGTCAATTTTTCACAATTGATCTCATGGTTTGCAAAATATACCACCAGGCAAAAGAAAGTTTCCACCTACTTCACTTAACCCAAAATAGGTAGGTGACATGAGTGGTGCTCGATAGGCCAATCATCCATGATTATGTTTCCATTAAGTTTTAATTGATTGCATGCGATGGTAGCGTAGCTATCGGCAAAGCAGTCGGGTGGGGTACACCGAAGTGTCCGGCCTTGTCATGATGTATTGTACTGTGAAGCATTTAGAGTCGGGGGTCATCTCAAAAACAATATTTTTTTTATAATTAATCCTCGCAAAGACCCGAAGGCCTGTGACCTGATCCCGTAAGTCGCCTCTTACGACAAACATCGGTTACTGAAGATCAATATTCACGTTAGAAGTTTAATTAGCTGCTGAGCATTATATCTCAAGCTCAAGAAATGTGTAGAAAAAGTGTCGCTTAGTACGAACTAAAATTCGTGCTTACTTTGAGTTCGTTATAAGTGTAATTTACTTTGTACAGATATTAACAGTACTTTTTCAGGCGATCATCTCAGTTAACGGTTTTCTTTTCTCCGCCAGGTACGCTATCATTTTAAGAGGCACAATGGCAATTAAACTATGGATGCTGATATGCGTGACTTCAATGACTAACGGATCATCAGAAAACATCACCAACTCCAAGAGGCTATTTGGATCCAAGATGTGCGCATTCCTTTGTAGACGTACCACAAGGTGCTCGCAGTTCCTGTTTTCTGATTCAACCTGTGTTTTCAATACAACTGAGTCTTCAACGGAAGGCGGTGTCATGTGTGCTTTAAACAGTGTCCTGACACAGGTAACAAATAACTGGCATTCCATTTTCAGGGAGATAGGTCGAAGATGAATCAATCATCATCATCATCATCATCATCCCTCTGAAACTCAGGACGCTGCTCCCTCACCACCCTCGATAATCTCCAGGGTATACGTTACGACCACTCTCCACTATACCTTGGATGCATCCATGGCTTGTCCCGATGATTTTATTACCTCCCTTTGCTGGCATTTTATCCAATCAGGTGTCTACGCTGGGAAGCTGAGCGAAACAATCACAACTCACTTTCGGTTCTTAAATTATCTAACCGTTTAAACTTGGCAACACAATTGATGCAAAGGTACTCTTAAAGAGGTAGAAGGAGTTCTTTCATATTTTTTTTAAGGTTTCAGATCTGTCAATTTGTCTGTAATATTTCCCCCAAAATGTGAGTGGCACTGCGACCGCTATCTTTGTTAATACTGGCAAGCTCGGATGTAACGACGGCTTCGCTGATTGGCTACTGTGAGAATGCGGAGCCAGCAAAGGGAGGTAATATAATTATCGGGCCAAGCCGTGGATGCATCCAGGGTATAGTGGAGAGTGATCGTAACGTACACCCTGGAGATTATCGAGGATGCTCCCTCACTGGTTCGTGACAACCATTCAATATCATTTTCCCTCGTGGCCATGGAGTGGTATAACGGCTTCCGTATCATTTCCCTACACTCACACATCAGGGGAATCGAACTACACAATTGGGATACGATGACGTGCATTACCCCTAGGCAGCAAGCCTGGCCTCCAATTCCCGAAAATCCATTTATACGACAAACGTGTATGACATGCGGTACAATAGTTTATCTCTGTGCATAACTATACTTGTAGACTTGTTGGTAAGTCCAACTTTTGGCTCTTGGTGTACATAACATGTTTCTTTATTTCAGGATATCACAAACATGTATGAGGACGAAAGCCAGTGCTGTCCGAAGAGTTATAAAATCATCCTGATTAGGCGACCAAGTCCCCAATGCGTCGCTTGTAAGTAGTGCAGCCAGAGCAGAAGGTTCTAACTGTTGCTTCTTTCGGAAGCCTCACTGCAGCCATTACAGTCTGTTTGACTTCATTTGAGACAAATTCAACAAATTGGTGGTAGAACAGCTAGGTGTGCGAGTTGTACGTGTGAAATTTAAATTTCACTGCATATGCTTATTGATCACCTGGCTGTTCTACCAGCAAGTGGTTACCCCTCGTAAGAAACAGCGAAAAGTGACAACAAAATAATGATCGTTTCTTAAACAACTTTTTCATTCGGGTGTCCAAAATTATGAGACAAATCACAGAGTTGGTCTGTCGATTTCATGTGACTGTGCAAAGTTTGATTTTGTTGCAGTTATTAGATTTTGTGTTAGTGAGCAATTCATCGGTCTCAAATGAAGTGAAACGGACTGTACAAAAGAAGTTAATGGCTGCAGCGAGGCTTCAGAAAGAAGCAGCAGTTAGAACCGCGCGTGCCAAATAGTCATGATCACATTTTTATACAAACACATGATGTCATCAAATATTTTCGGTGAAGTATTTGTATAATCGTCAACGCAATTTTGGTTTTGGCCCAAATGAATCTGTTTCAAAGGAAAATCGAGACGAAAATTGACGTCGCGTTGACGTTTTATTTCAGACGTTTTTACACTTGTTGTTTAACACACTTGCTCAGCTATATGACGGCGGTTTGTAAATTCTCGAGTTTAGACCAGTGATCGAAATCATGACCATCGATTCAAAGGCCACCTGGAATCATTACAAATTAGGCTTTCTTCCGTCCATTATGATGAGGTGTTTAAAAACGTTATTACAGTAGGAATAATTAATCATGTTTGTTTTCCTTATAATCGTACTTATAATCGTACTCAAATGTAGCTGCTAAAATATTCTTTCCTTTCATTTAATTATTTCGATCAGTTTCATTCTCGTAGGTGCAACTCGATTGTTTTTTATGCTGCTCATGGGTTTCATTAAATAGGTAAAAACCAGTCACCTGTTTGTGATGTTCTTCCTACCTCAGGCTAACACGCTCTGATATCACGGAAATCATGTTCATAGCCGTGTTTTTTTACCGCCTCCGTGGTGTATAGGTTAGAGCGTCATACCAAAAGACGTTAAAATATGGTACTTGTTGGTCCCTGTCTGGCGCTCGGCATTAATGGGTACAACAAGGACTGGTCGGCTCAGAGTCAGTATAATGTGACTGAGTGGGGTATTCATGCTTCACTGCGGCATGGCATCTCAGCGGGCTAGCACTATAAAACCAGCTTAAGTCTGGGCTAGTACAACCAGCCGCACATACACATACACAAGCATGCACGTCGTCATATGAGCGAAATGTTCTCAAGCACGACGTTAAACCCAATTTCACCCCCACCTCACCTCACCTCACAGCCGTGTTGGTCCAACACAATCCATCTTTGAAATTCTCACAATGTTTCTCACAATCTTTCACTCATCAGTGAATCCTACTCCTCCACCTGACCTCGAAGAGCGTGACTTGATTCTTGCCCCTAGGATGGGAGACCTAACCAAGGTTAAAAGCATCTTGTTAGAGGATGGAGTGGACATCAATTATTTCGAACCCTGGCGAATGCAAGTTGTGATGATAGCGGCGATGTCGGGACACAAGGAAGTTGTTGAGTTTCTTGTGAATGAAGGAGCAGATTTGTCACTTGTGGACCAGTTCGGTAACAACATCCTCCATCAGGCCTGTATGGGAGGAGATGTAAAGACTGTGAAGTATCTCCTCTCACAGAGCGTAGTGGGCATCAACAGTAAGGGGCAGCACAACAGAACACCACTGATGTTTGCGATATTGGAAAGGTGCCATGAAGTGATGGAGTTACTTGTAGAGGAAGGAGCTGATATGTCACTAGTGGATGATGTCGGTAACAACGTACTCCACTGCGCCTGTATTGGAGAGAATGCGATGGCTGTGAACTTTCTTCTGGCACGTGGTCTAGCAGACATTCATGCCAGGAACCAACTGGGTAAGACAGCCACCGACCTAGCAGAAGGTTTTGATAGAATACTAAATATTCTTGCTTCATACATGTAAAAAGGGACACAATATAAGAAAGTGAGTATTGCTGGGAGTTAAGAACAACTCATGGAATAGTCCTAATGTAATGCTTACATTTAAAAATTTTTTTGAATGACCCGAGTTATTTGGTTATTTAATACATAATTTTCTTGTGTTTGTATCACACGTGGTATTATACGAAATAGAGACGTGATCACGTGACCTTGAGGTTTGAAAGACTGACTGACTGACTGAGTTTGGTTTTACGCCGCTTTTAGTAATATTCCAGCAACATCACGGCGGGGGACACCAGAAATGGGCTTCACACATTGTACCCATGTGGGGATTCGAACCCGGGTGTTCGGCGTGACGAGCCAACGCTTTAACCACTAGGCTACCCCACCGCCCCAGGTTTGAAAGAAGCCATGCTCACGGCTGTGTATAAAAAAAGGACAATTGTAAGTGAAGATATGAAGTCGATACACTTGTTTCCGAAGATCATTATGATAGTCTGATGCACAATGGGTATAACAACTGAAGCCTGGAGGGCTCAAATTGGCACATTTTTCTCCACGAGTAAAATGTCGTCGTGTGATGTTCCCGGTATGACGCTCCCAGCCAGCCTTGTTTTGGAAGCAGACTCTGTTAATTTGTGGCGACATTGAATCTAACCCGCCGCCATACAGATAGGATATTGCTGAGTTCGGCGTAAAACTAAACTCAATCACTCACTTACAGAAACTATATTTCTAAATGCAGCCAGTACTTTGCACCGAGTTAATGTGGCTTTCCCATCCTTACGAGGTACCCATTCACAGCTGGGTGGACTGGGACACATAGTCACAGCACTTTGTCCAAGTTTACTGCACATTGCTGTACCCGCAACTAGGTGCTTGCACATATTCATGTGGCCACCATCTGGTCATCTACCAACGGATTCGTGGGTTCTTTTAAGTGCACAGGGTTGTGTACTGTACACTAGGGGTTGTGACAACACTAAAATATGTCTGCACACAAAGTTGACTCCAAAGTTTTTCACACCCGGTCACAGGTGGGCTCGATCCCGGCACCTCCAAGCTCGCTGTATTACAAGCCTGGCGCCTTAGACAGCTCGCCCACCGCGACCCAAAATGTAATGTAATGTAATGTGGTTTGCTTGTGTGTATACAAAAGGAACTGGCACCTCATTTCAGAAACATGCTATTTTCTATACGTTGTATAAAACGAAAAGTGACAACAGTTTCACTGGCTTCATATATGTCCACCCAGGAAGATCCACTGAACAGGAGTTGGCAAAATGTAGTGGAATCGGAACTCTAGAAAGTCGTCTATTACATATAACAACTTTCAAAACAGATTCTTTCAATAAGACAAGGCAGTCTAGTGACAGTGGTAGCAATGGTTATGACCGAAAACTCATCGAATTGTTAACACAATTAAATATCCATCTTGTAAATGGTCGAACTGTAAGTGACGCAGTAGGCAACTTTACATATGTATCACGTCAAGGAACAGGTGTGGTGGATTATTTCATTGCTTCCACGGATATATTTGATCTTGCCATGAACCTGACAGTTGTTTCTATAAGTGAATAAGACCATATGCCGATCGTCTGTTCCTTTAGTGATATCCTGCCTGATATACCACAGTGTATTAATCCGGACGCTTCTGAACAGAAACGTTGGTGTCTGATCGACAAACGCTATTAACTTCGCGGAAGAATCGTAAGATAAACACAATCGAATGAGTTTGCACGGTGTTCCAATACATTATGGGCGGTGGGGGTAGCCTAGTGGTTAAAGCGTTCGCTCGCCACGCCGAAGACCCGAGTTCTATTCCCCACATGCGTACAATGTGTGAAGCCTATTTCTGGTGTCCCCCACCGTGATATTGCTGGAATATTGCTAAAAGCGGCGTAAAACTTAACTCACTCACTCACTCACTCCAATACATTGAATACTTCTGAAACAAAATATATACTAGTACTCATGATATTGTCACAATTGTACAATTTCTTCTGGATGTGAAAAGGGTTTTGTCACTTCTTTTTACTACCTTGGTGTACCCGACTGTTGTGTGATACAAGATGCTATGGGAAGAAGTAATATAAAACAGTGTGAAAAGTTTACTTCCCTGGTTGGTGTATTTCGAAGAACACTACTGACTGATATTCCGACAACCCTTGACATACTAAATGATATATATTCCATGTGCCGAACCTACAGCCCTACTGTATTTAACCACCGTAATCGCACATGTAAACGTCAACCACCTTGGTTTGACAAGGAACGTGAAATACTGAAATCGGAAAAATATAAACACGTCAACTATTTACGAAGATATTAATGTGACAGAAACGTTCAAGATTATCTGCTTGGTAAATCACACTTCAAACAATGCTCTAAAGAGAAGAGGATGCTGTTTCAAAGAAAGCTGAAGATCTGAATGAAGCAGCAAAACACGGGGACTACAAGCCGTTCTGGAACACAGTTTAACGGTGTCTTGGTAGTAGAAGCAGGTCACCAACAGTAACCCATACTACCTGGTTTGTCTATTTTAAAGACGTCCTAAATAACACTTACATTGACAGACGTAATGCTGAGGACCTGTATGAGTGAGTGAATGAGTGAGTTTAGTTTTACGCTGCACTCAGCAATTTTCCAGCTATATGACGGCGGTCTGTAAATAATCGAGTCTGGACCAGACAATCCAGTGATCAACAGCATGAGCATCGATCTGCGCAATTGGGAACCGATGACATGTGTCAACCAAGTCAGCGAGCCTGGCCACCCGATCCCGTTAGTCGCCTCTTACGACAAGCATGGGTTACTGAAGGTTCATTCCAGCCCGGACCTTCACGGGTGAGGACCTATATGACTTTGTTGATGGTCATAATTGTGGCAATTGTAACCATACCCTCGAATCAGACGACTTATTGTCGTCCATTATTACAAAAGAGGAAACTATCTCAGCCATCGACAACTTGAAACGTGGAAAGGCGCCAGGTGAAGATGGAATACCACCTGAAATGCTTATTTTTCTCAAAACGTGTTTAACACCTTACCTTTCACTTTTAGTCCAAAACAATACTGGAGACAGGTCAGTTTCCAAGTTCAGGGAATATTAGAATGATTATTCCGATCTACAAATCCGGCAGCATAAAAGACCCTAACAACTATCGAGGGATGTCTTTGCTGAACATTACTGGTAATTGTTTTCTAGTATTCTAGAAAAGCGTTTCAGACTCTGTGTTGAAATCAACGAATTACTCTCGGAAACCCCAGTAGGCTTTCGCAGCTCCTGCATAACAATAGACAATATCTTTTAACTTCAGTCATTATGCTCTCAGTACTTATGTAAAGCTGGTGGGCGCTTCGTCTGTGCTTTCTTTGACTTCAAGAAAGCCTTCGATTTTGTTGTCAGACAAAAAGCTATTATTTCAGCTCCACGCCACGGTTGTAATGGTAAAATGTATAATGTTATTAAAAGTATGTATTTATCACTTAAGAACATGAGAAGGCAAAACACAGCTGTTTTCTACAAACTTGGGTGTTAGACAAGGCTGTATGCTCAGCCGCATTTTGTTAACATTTTTCATAAATGAACTTGTGCTAGATATGTGGTGAGGTGAAATTGGGTTTAACGTCGTACTTGAGAACATTTCGCTCATGTGTGTATGTGTATGTGCGGCTGCTTGTACTAGCCCAGACTTAAGCTGGTTTTATAGTGCTAACTCACTGAGATACCATGCCGCAGTGAAGCATGAATACCCCACTCAGACACATTATACTGACTCCGAACCGACCAGGCCTTGTTGTACCCATTAATGCCGAGCGCCAGACAGGGACCAACAAGTACCATATTTTAACGTCTTTTGGTATGACGCGGCAGGGATCGAACCCGCGACCTTCCGTTCTCGGGCGGACGCTCTAACCACTACACCATGCAGGCGGTTCTAGATCTGAATAAGTCTGTACTTAACCTGGCGAGGAGAGCAAAGAAAGCTCGTTTACAACTTCACTCTGTTGTTTCTATGCTCGGTGTGATTCCACCGACTATTTACTTCAAATTATTTGATTCTCAAATACAACCGATTTTACTGTATTTTAAAACGTTTGTTTGTCAACACCAAATGCTATGGTTTATGGTGAATGTGGGAGGTTTCCATTGCACATATCATCTTATTGTCGTTGCTTAAAATATTGGTGTAAACTAATTAATATACCTGAACATCGTTTACCTACAAAAGCCTTAAATATGCTTTTACATCTTGATTATCTTGGAAAGAATAATTGGACATCTCATATTCGCACCTTACTATTTAGATATGGTTTTGGTTTGTATTTGGTTGTCACAGACAGTTGGCAATGTAAATATGTTTATTGGACAGTTCCGTATGCGGGCTATTGATATGTTTAAGCAGGAATGGCACTCAACTATTAATGAAAGTTCTAGATATGATTCATATTGTCAATTTAAGTCGTTGCCTGAGCCAGAGTCTTATCTTGCTCACCTACGCTACAGAAATGTTCGCAATGCTTTTAATCGTTTTAGATTAGGCCTTTATGATTTATCAGATAACCGTGGAAGATATTTTTTATGGAAAAAAAAACAAAGATAAGGCCAATTCTGTTACATTATTGAAGATGAATTCCATTTTATGTTTATTTGTCCTATACATGAAAATCTAAGAAATAAGTATCCATCACAACTGTCCTTATCTCAAATCAATGTTAATCTATTGTCTTCCTTACTTTCCTGCAAAGAACCTCCAAAACAACACAAAGTTGTTGTTGTACAATAAAGAATTGAATTTAATTGTATCGAACCCGCGCCCATCCGTTCTCCGGGCGGACGCTCTAACCACTACACCATGCAGGTGGTTCTAGATATGTATAAAGGTTGCAACCATGGCATTTTTGTAACCCAAGAATAGAGAATCTTTTACCTTATGTTGATGATATTGTAATGGTTTCATTTTGTGGAAATAGTTTACATAAGCCAAAAAAGATTCTCTCAAAGTCTGAAAGAAATATCTTTCCAAACTTGGCACGCAAGTATTAATAATTCAAAGTTTTTAAGATATTATAGTAATCTATATTCTCTTTTAGAGCCTGAAATGTAATTCTCCATTTGAATGGCATATCTTTAATCAGAGCATTTTGTAAATTTAGAATTTCTTTACACAACCTTAGAGTTAACAATTATTGTAAATCTAAAGATAACGATTTGAGTAATTCATTTTGTAAATTATGCAATATCGGGACACTCGAAGATGAATTTCATGTTTTGTTTGTGAGAAATATTCAGCTATTCGTAAAAAATATATTCAATCTCTAAATATGCATAGTATTCTAAGTACAAAAAATGTGAAAATTATTATACATGTAGCCATATCTTTTAAGAAATGTATCTAATTTACTCTTAACGTGACTGTCACGTGAAACTCAAATGTATTTACTTAACTCTATTGTACTCTACACCATGAGGCCCTTATACTGAATAAATTCTGTTCTGTTCTGTTCTTAATTAGAGAGGACACTGCATTATGTTTATGTGGGGACAGTGGGGTCGCCTAGTGGTTAAAGCGTCCGCTCGTAACGCTGAAAGGCCAGGTTCGATTCCCGACATGGGCACAATGTGTGAAGCACATGCCACACTGTTATGACATTGCTCGGCGTGGCATAACAAACTCCTTCACTTGCTCATTATGCTGATGTAGATTGTTTTTTATTCCAGTTATATAATCATGTCTGAACCAGACAGTACAGTGATTAACGTGATAGGCATTGATCTACGCAATTATATGATAGTAATTCCTGAACTAGTTACCCATAATTGACCTACATGTTCCAAATTCCATTTGTCAAAAGACGAAAGAACCATGGAAGATCCGGGTTAGAACTGATCTTGCTTGTTGAAAGAGGTACCTAACGGGATCGGGTGTTTGTTTATGCATGCCATTGCATCCTAATTGCGTAGATGGATACTTATGATATCAATCCTTGTCTTGTCCTGACTCGATTATTTTCAGACCGCAGTCATTTATATGCACATTGAACTTAATTAAGCACCCCCTAACTTACGTCAAAAAACATCCCAATATGCAGTTGAAGCACACTACCCACGGTTGCCTCATAAAGCACTATTAACTCAATGCGGCTAACTGTATAAAACGCCAAAACTTTTTAATGATTTTACCAGTATCTGGAGACTACTAGAAGGAGTCTACCAGAAGCAAGAAGATGGCAAATTAATGGAATGCACGACACCGGGATGTCATGCAGGGCTATTGGGCGACAGTGTGACATTCACCACACCATAAGTCGACTTGTTCAAAAACACCGTCAAACCAAAAAGATCAAGGACTGACCAAGGCCAGGTCAACCCCGAAAGACGTCTCAAGTTGAGGATCGGGGTTTAGCAAGCCTTGTGAGACAGGCTTTCACTACAAATGGCGTCCTGAAGCACCTATGGCTCCCCAACAGACGTCTGTTCAATAGGACTGTATGAAACAGCATAAAAGCACATGGGGTGAGGGCAAGAAGGGTGATCAAGCGTAAAGCCTTCACCAATCTTCACAAGCGACCTCATTTGGTGTGATGTTTACCCAGGAATTTGATGTCATGCAGGAAGGTGCATTGGTCGGATGAGAGTCACTTTTTATTGCACGTCTCAGACGGGCGCCAACGAGTCTGGAGGTCCAAGAACAGTGCCAATGAGCCTAAGAACATCAGAGCATCAGTTACTTTCGGTGGCGGGTGTGTCATGGTCTGGGGTTGTCTCTCCCATGATTGTAAACTGGACTTAAATATTGGTAACTGTTCGTGGAAATCTCAATGGTGACCATGACATCCGGGACATGATGGATCCTGTTCTTGTGCCACAAGATAACCACTCATTAGCCACTCGCCCTGTATTTATGGATGTCAACGCCCGACCACATCGTTCCCGACTTGTGACAATTTTTCTCTAACAACGCAGTAACCAAACCTCCATGGCCTGCTATGAGCCCGGATCTGAACCCATTGGAGCCTGACTGGGGCATTCTTGGAAGCCGAGTGCAAGCACTGGATCCGCCTGTACAAGATCTGGCATATTTGGAAGCATCTTTGCGCCGGGAGAGGCAGCAGCTGCCCCTGGAGCGAATCCGGAGACTCACCACAAGCATGAGGAGGAGGGTCAAAGTAGTCATCCATGCACAAGGTGGATATGCACGCACATTGTTCATGTGATTTGTTGTCTGAAGATCACAGAGAACATTTTCAGACTAAAATACACTCACCACTCTCATTTTGGAACTCTGCAGCCCCATAGTTGTACAGGGATACATTTTGTTGACAAAACATCGTTGACGTTTCCATGACATTTTGTAAACTAAAATATTGCAAATTTTCATGATTTTATTGTTATTGTTTAATCGAAAATGTCAACTTTCAGGAAACAATGGAGTTTAAGCTTTCTAGTATACATACTAATGGCGATGGTTGCTCAGTTTCATGGCAATATGAAAAAATGGGGATGTTCTTAATAAGGTTCCATATGTATATATGGAAAAGTACCGAGTGCGGCGTTTAAAGAACAAACCAGCAAACAAACAAAAGCAGAAAAAACGATAAACAGCAACGAAACAGTTAATAGTGTTGTTTTCCCTGAAGAGCAATTGTCTCTGTGATAGCCATAACTCAGCTTTTCCAACCTGGGTAACCGTTTGCCCATGGGAAACTGAATTGATCTTTACCATACAAGAATTCTCTTATGTCATGTTCAAATGATGTGAGTGGTGACGAGGGAATCGTGTGACTTTTTTTCTCTGTGTGGGACGAATCAGTGCATCCCATTGTATTTATTTATGCATCCCTACTGTGTCGTTTTGTGTAATTGATTGATTCTACTGTAACCTTGTGGACCATTTTTATCTTTGGGGATTTCTTCGATAGGCAGTTACAGAAATAAGACTTCCAGAAATGGAAGAAATCTGTTGGGTTTCTATGAAGGAATTGTGAACATGCGATTGCAGGTTTGTCTGTGTGTTTAAAGCTGCACTCAACAATATTGCAACTCTATGACGGCGGTCTGTAATACTGGAGTATGAACCATTCTACGTTGTGATTTAATGAATGGAACTGGGACATGTTGTTTAACAAAGCTGCATTTATATAGTTAAAATATATAAATATACTGATATAGTTTAAAAAGTCAAATTAGCGAATTTTCTACCTCTGATTTTCATACCTGAACTGACCCGTGAAGATCCGGGTCGGGTGGTCAGATTTGCTGACTTGGTTGAGACAGTGATCGATGCTCATGATGTTGATTGTCTGGTCCAGACAGACCACCGTAATGTTGCACAGTGTTAAACATCCACAAACAAAAGATGCCGAAACTAATGATTAGATCTAGAGGCACTAATTGTTCACAAGGTTCTTGCTAAATGTTGTTTGTCGAGTGAGTGAGTGAGTGAATTTAGTTTTACGCCGCACTCAGCAATATTCCAGCTATGTGGTGGTGCTCTGTAAATAATCGAGTCTGGGCAGACAATCCAGTGATCAACAGCATGAGCATCGATCTACGCAATTGGGAACCGATGACATCTGTCAACCAAGTCTGACCACCTGACCCCGTTAGTCGCCTCTTACGACAAGCATGGGTTGTTCAAGATCACTCCTAACCCGGATCTTCACTGGCTTTTTAGGTGATTCTTCAGCGAAGCAGACAAACAGAATTCAGTTCTATATTTGCCCTTTTCAGCAAAAGTGATGTCAGAGGCAATTCCCTGTTCACGTTTACCAACCCTCCAGATGCTACTTCTTGATTTGAAGTTGAAACAAAATGTCAACCAAGAAAGCTGCACGCAAAACGATGCCAGAGTGAAGCCAACAATAAAATAATGTTATTAACAGTTTTGTTATAATAATATCTGTTTCGCACAAATCAGTAGAAATTACTGTAAAGTAACTGAGTGGAAGAAAAAAATGAATAAATTTGGCAATTAATACAATGGCAGTATATAATACAGCAGTGGTAATGACAATGTGGGATAACAATATTCACCTGACAGTATATAATACAGCAGTGGTAATGCCAGTGTGGGATAACAATATTCACCTGACAGTATATAATACAGCAGTGGTAATACCAATGTGGGATAACAATATTCACCTGACAGTATTTAATACAGCAGTGGTAATGCCAATGTGGGATAACAATATTCACCTGACAGTATATAATACAGCAGTGGTAATACCAATGTGGGATAACAATATTCACCTGACAGTATATAATACAGCAGTGGTAATGCCAATGTGGGATAACAATATTCACCTGACAGTATATAATACAGCAGTGGTAATGCCAATGTGGGATAACAATATTTACCTGACAGTATATAATACAGCAGTGGTAATGCCAATGTGGGATAACAATATTCACCTGACAGTATATAATACAGCAGTGGTAATGCCAATGTGGGATAACAATATTCACCTGACAGTATATAATACAGCAGTGGTAATGCCAATGTGGGATAACAATATTCACCTGACAGTATATAATACAGCAGTGCAGTGGTAATGCCAATGTGGGATAACAATATTCACCTTACAGTATATAATACAGCAGTGGTAATGCCAATGTGGGATAACAATATTCACCTGACAGAATATAATACAGCAGTGGTAATGCCAATGTGGGATAACAATATTTACCTGAAAGTATATAATACAGCAGTGGTAATGCCAATGTGGGATAACAATATTTACCTGACAGTATATAATACAGCAGTGGTAATGCCAGTGTGGGATAACAATATTCACCTGACAGTATATAATACAGCAGTGGTAATACCAATGTGGGATAACAATTTCACCTAACAGTATATAATACAGCAGTGGTAATACCAATGTGGGATAACAATATTCACCTGAGAGTATATAATACAGCAGTGGTAATGCCAATGTGGGATAACAATATTCACCAGACAGTATATAATACAGCAGTGGTAATGCCAATGTGGGATAACAATATTCACCTGACAGTATATAATACAGCAGTGGTAATACCAATGTGGGATAACAATATTCACCTGACAGTATATAATACAGCAGTGGTAATGCCAATGTGGGATAACAATATTCACCTGACAGTATATAATACAGCAGTGGTAATACCAATGTGGGATAACAATATTCACCTGACAGTATTTAATACAGCAGTGGTAATGCCAATGTGGGATAACAAAATTCACCTGACAGTATATAATACAGCAGTGGTAATACCAATGTGGGATAACAATATTCACCTGACAGTATATAATACAGCAGTGGTAATACCAATGTGGGATAACAATATTCACCTGACAGTATATAATACAGCAGTGGTAATGCCAAAGTGGGATAACAATATTCACCTGACAGTATATAATACAGCAGTGGTAATACCAATGTGGGATAACAATATTCACCTGACAGTATTCAATACAGCAGTGGTAATGCCAATGTGGGATAACAAAATTCACCTGACAGTATATAATACAGCAGTGGTAATACCAATGTGGGATAACAATATTTACCTGACAGTATATAATACAGCTGTGGTAATGCCAATGTGGGATAACAATATTGACCTGACAGTATATAATACAGCAGTGGTAATGCCAATGTGGGATAACAATATTCACCTGACAGTATATAATACAGCAGTGGTAATGCCAGTGTGGGATAACAATATTTACCTGACAGTATATAATACAGCAGTGGTAATACCAATGTGGGATAACAATATTCACCTGACAGTATTTAATACAGCAGTGGTAATGCCAATGTGGGATAACAATATTCACCTGACAGTATATAATACAGCAGTGGTAATGCCAATGTGGGATAACAATATTCACCTGACAGTATTTAATAGAGCAGTGGTAATGCCAATGTGGGATAACAATATTCACCTGACAGTATATAATACAGCAGTGGTAATGCCAATGTGGGATAACAATATTTACCTGACAGTATATAATACAGCAGTGGTAATGCCAATGTGGGATAACAATATTCACCTTACAGTATATAATACAGCAGTGGTAATGCCAATGTGGGATAACAATATTCACCTGACAGTATATAATACAGCAGTGGTAATACCAATGTGGGATAACAATATTCACCTGACAGTATATAATACAGCAGTGGTAATGCCAGTGTGGGATAACAATATTTACCTGACAGTATATAATACAGCAGTGGTAATGCCAGTGTGGGATAACAATATTTACCTGACAGTATATAATACAGCAGTGGTAATGCCAATGTGGGATAACAATATTCACCTGACAGTATATAATACAGCAGTGGTAATGCCAATGTGGGATAACAATATTCACATGACAGTATATAATAGAGCAGTGGTAATACCAATGTGGGATAACAATATTCACCTGAAAGTATATAATACAGCAGTGGTAATGCCAAAGTGGGATAACAATATTCACCTGACAGTATATAATACAGCAGTGGTAATACCAATGTGGGATAACAATATTCACCTGACAGTATATAATACAGCAGTGGTAATGCCAATGTGGGATAACAATATTCACCTGACAGTATATAATACAGCAGTGGTAATACCAATGTGGGATAACAATATTCACCTGACAGTATTTAATACAGCAGTGGTAATGCCAATGTGGGATAACAAAATTCACCTGACAGTATATAATACAGCAGTGGTAATACCAATGTGGGATAACAATATTTACCTGACAGTATATAATACAGCTGTGGTAATGCCAATGTGGGATAACAATATTCACCTGACAGTATATAATACAGCAGTGGTAATGCCAATGTGGGATAACAATATTCACCTGACAGTATATAATACAGCAGTGGTAATGCCAGTGTGGGATAACAATATTCACCTGACAGTATATAATACAGCAGTGGTAACACCAATGTGGGATAACAATATTCACCTGACAGTATATAATACAGCAGTGGTAATGCCAGCGTGGGATAACAATATTTACCTGACAGCATATAATACAGCAGTGGTAATGCCAATGTGGGATAACAATATTCACCTTACAGTATATAATACAGCAGTGGTAATGCCAATGTGGGATAACAATATTCACCTGACAGTATATAATACAGCAGTGGTAATACCAATGTGGGATAACAATATTCACCTGACAGTATATAATACAGCAGTGGTAATGCCAGTGTGGGATAAC